ACATCTGTCACTGGGTTACCGCCCTCATCCAGTAGAGGCCCCACACCCTCTCTGATCACCTTCTTCTTGGTGTAGACCAATCCTAAGCAAAATGTTGCCTGTCAATCCACTGGATCTGGCCCAGAGGCAGTGGAGAGCCCCAGGCAGACTCCCCTGCTTGCCTCACATGCCGCTCAGAAACGGGGCTGCAGAGCGCTTTCTCTTTGAGTCTAGAGGGGAAGAGGGGGAAGATTCAGACACTACTCCCGCCCTCAGCACAATCCCATTGGCCGGTTTCTGGACAAACACTGGCCAATGAGAGCTGCCTGTTTGAGTAACAAGCAGCCACAAAGCACAACCCTCCTGCTCACTCACTCAAACACATGGCTGAGCAGGCAGAAACATTTTACCTGCCTCTGGCTCCTCAGCCCCTCCCTTCCCTAACCCTGTGCCCCACTATTCCACATGCACCCTTACTCCCTCCCAGATCTGGCACCCCATCTCCTGCCTGAGATCACAATCCCCTCCTACCCTAGGTCACATCCCAAAACCCCACACTTCAGTTCTCTGCCCTAGGTCACAACCACCTCTTTTACCCAAACTCCCTCCCAGACTCCATTCTCCCTCCTGCACCCCAGTCCTTTACCCCAAGCTCCCTTCTGCACCCCCAGACTCCACATCTCCTCCATTAATACCATGGAAGAGTGGGCCCTCAAACAATTTCCAATATCTTGGGAGTGGCCCTCCGTCCCCATCAAGAATTATTGCCTGGTGTAGACCCTCTCAGACAACAAATGTACAAGAGCAGTTCCAAAAGCTCTAAATGGTTAATTGCCTACCCCTTAATTTAGACCCAAATTTATCTTCCTTGTTTTTTATGGTAAATCATTCCTCAAAAACAGTCAATTGAGGCTCAATATTTACATTTAGTTTATATTTAGCATGGGTCTTTCAGAAACTCAAAGATTTCTTTCTCCACACCTTTCTCTCATTACAGAAGTTACTAGACATTCCTTTTCCACGTAGTGTTCACAATCCCTATCCCTACATCAAATACCCACACAAAACACCCTCAACTGTAACTCCCCGAGTGTGCAGGACCCAGTTCCCCTGTTCTCTTCACCACGTAGACCCTCCTAAGTGGCCAGCTTAGCAGAGTGTGCACCTCTTTTGCTACAACTACAATAACAATCAGCTTCTATCTTAGGAAGCGAGACAGCCAAAACAAGAGTTAGAATTAATTTGTAAGTTTAATACCCCAACTGAGGTTTTCTCTTAAGATGCTGCCTCTCCTTACAAAGTATGGTTTAAGTGTGAAAGAGTAGTAACCTAAGGACAAACAAGATAGGGAAGAGACTTTGTAGCACAGGTTAGTGATGGGTCACAAAGCCAATAACAGTTTTCAAAGCCTGGGTGACAAATTCCTAAATAAAAGTGAGCAAAGATTCTGAGCACCTGCAGATCCTATGGACTCAGAATTTTTTCAGAAGACTAGCTTTATGCACAAAGATGATGAACACACTTTTTAAAAACGTTCCTACACAATGGAGTTCCTGTATCTCTTCTGCGCCACCAAACATTACAGCACAATATATTTTAAGGCAGTTTTCTTTCTTTTTCTCTCTACTGTAATTTAAACATTGAGTACATTAGTCACTAGTCCTAACTATGGATGGATACGGTACTATTAGGAAATTACTGGACATCTACAATTAGTGTACCCTTCATTCTAATTTATGGAAGACATCTTTTTAAAAGTAATTTGAAACACCCAAAAAGAGAATTGTAGATGTTTGGATAGTTTAACTTCTGAACACTTAACTATCAGAGCTCTGCTCAGTAAGGAGATAGCTCCCAGGAATCAGGCAGATACATATTTCAATGCAGTTACCAATATAAATTCAGCTCTACAACACTGCCCCCATGACCAATCAGAAAAGTGCTCCTTTATAGCTGTTTAAGGTATTTCCTTATTTTACCTGGATCCTATTAGTTAATATTGAACAGTCCCATGAAAGGCTTTCTGATTTAAATCAGTTGTGTTTTAGGCAATTCCAATGAAATCACTCATTTCATCAGTTTCACTTATAGCAATAGGCCAACTTATCTCTTCACATTCCATTCCAATCATAAGGCTGAGCCTCGGGCTACTGTTTTTTAGGTAACTCACCTTGACTCTGAGTACTATTTTCCCTTAAAGGTTTCAGGCTCTTATCAAGATAGCTTCCCCATGTGACCTCTCTGCTTCTGAAAGCTGAAGCTTGAATGCTCTATTAATATACTAGTCCTCCCTGCAGTGGGTTTTTCCCAATTATCCAGACCTATTATTGCCCTCATCCCCCAGAAGAAAGCATTAGCTTTAATATTTCACTCAACATCAGTAAGACATAGCAAACCACTAAAATAGCAGAAGTAGACAAACATAATCCAATCTATTTTGTTTAATGTTGTACAAAAAAACTGATGACTATTACAATGAAAAGTGATTAAAACACTGAGTCACATTCGCCATCCCACTATCTAAACAGTTGAGATTCACTTTGCTATTCAGACAATAGAAAGTTTAGCAGTTTTCAGGAAAAAAATGACATAAAAAATCCTTGTATCACATGTATTCTTCCCTCTTCATCTTAAAGCTGTGCTCACAGAGACGGCTTCTTCTACCTTTCTTCAAATATATGGGAATTCAGTTGTAAATAAAATTGAATCTAAAATAAATGCAATATGTTTATTATTATTTATAGGCAGAAGGTGATTTAATGTGTGCAATATTTTATTTTTCAGATAAACAAACTCACACCTAACAGAAAGCAAAGATGAGATTTCCACTCAACTTTTTGTACCTCAACCAGTAATTGTCTGCACCAGGTAGACACTAACCTCAGCTTCACACACAAGTATACTAATGGATCCAAGCCTGTAAAACTAAGTCTTAAACCTTCAAAATTGGCTTTTCTCGGTCTGAGAAGCTATGAGAATTTTGTTTCATCAGGGGAAAAAAGTGTTACAGCGTGGAAGAAAATTACTATTGGACAAATTCTGCATACATCAGGAGTCAGTCACGAGTAACAACCTTCACAAAAGATTTATAAACTCTTAAAACTGAAGTTTGCAGCGTGAACAGTGATAGACTATTATGCAAGAAATAGCTAATTTAATTTGTGCTGTGTCAAATATGTGTTCATCTCAATTTTCAGATATCCCTGCAGCTAATTAGGACAGAGGTGTAGGGATTTGTGATTTCAGCTCCGGTTAAGCTACTGAAAGTAGTAATTCATGGTAATACAACCTTTGCTTGCTTAAAGAAAAGCATTTTGTTAGTTTTTTTTGGAAAGAGACTTCTTTTGTGGTTTTTATACAGGAAATGCTATAGCAGTAGTTGTAAAGGCTGACAGCGAATAAGGGAGATAATAATAAAGATGAAGAATGGTACAAATCTTTTAGGGTTCTGACATCTCAAAGAGATTTTTTTCATGCAAGAGGGTGGATGTGGCCTAAATTCCCTCTAAGAGGTATGGCTACACTGTTGCCTAGCTCAGGATGGCCACACAGAGTGTTGCCTCTGCCTGCCAGCCCCAGCATGGAGCAGTTGTGGCCTGAGCAGAAGCTTCTCTCCTCATTGGCCCCAGCACAGAGCTGCTCCATGTTGGGACCAAAGGAGGAGCGCCTCTCCACCTTCTACAGGACCCAACCCGGAGCTGCTCCAGAGCTGGCAAAGCTGGGGACGGGGACGGGGGGGGGGAGGGAACAACACAGATGACCCTGATCTTCAACTAGAGCTGCATTGGCCATGGAGAGGTCCCGCTTACCTGGCCCCAAGCTACTGCAGTAAGAGAAGGCTGGGATTGTCCTCTCTTCATCCCTTACCCCCAGACCCAACCCAGAGCCCTCACCCCTATCATCTTCCCCAACTGCAAGCTCCCTCCTGCACCCCATTCCCTCAATGCCACACTGTCCATGTATGGGATGACTTGTTATGTGATACATCACTGCCATATTCATGCAGATTACAAAAGTGATTCCACACATGGACATACAAATAGAGGGAACTAAATGTGACTTGTAAAGAGTAGAGCCGCATGCACGCACACTTGACAAATTAAACTATGTGTTGCATGGAAAATTACTTAAGTACAGGCTCAAGAACACCAGACAGACAGACCAATAAGCTCTCAAGCCTGATGAAGTATGTTCAATGGAGGCAGTTAAGGAATGCATATTTTTTATCTGAATGGTACTGATACACCTTGAACATATTATAAAGATAAACTTAAACAACAAATGGTCTGGTAGCACTTTATAGACTAACAAAACACGTAGATGGTATCATGAGCTTTCGTGGGCACAACCCACTTCTTCAGATGACTGGAGTTTTTATAAAGATATTATAAAGAAATGCTGAGAAATTAGTCAGCATAGTAGCTACTTATACTGTGAATCTGCTGCATACTATACCTGCTCAAAAGTTGAGGAAGGCTGGAAATGATAGGTCCATATCCTGGGGCATTGTCATAGAGCTCAAACAATGGTGCAGCTACCAGCTTGTAATTTTTGGGGACAGCAAACAAAGCTAAAAAATTAACCAAAGACAGTATTTACAATGGAAACAATTGTTTCTAACAATTTCAAGCTAAGGTTCCACTAAGGGTCCCTTTCCCCTTTTAAATAATAGATAATTGTCACCCAAAACTAGTGTTCCGATGGGCTTATTTTGCACAGTTAGAGGTGGACCTCTTATGCTGGGATTTTGTACATACACACGCCTCTCACCTATTATACTGGCAAAGCATCCCAGTTTATGATGACTTAACATCGGGGTGGGCTAAAAAAGGCTCAAGGAAATTGGATATTTTAGTTTTTTACATAGCTATACAGACATACACTATTTAACATTACATTTGAAATTTAGAATTTATGGCAACGCAAGATTGAAAGTGTCTTTTTCACTCACAGAAATTGGTCCAAAATTGGTCCAAAAGATGGTGGGTTCACCCACCATCAACCTATGTTAAGACCTAAAACTTTCTTACAATATACTTGGGGCTGCACCCCCTGCTTGCTATGCTTGCCAACCCCCCTCTCTCCGGGGGGCAGGCAGCCCAGGCTCTCATCCCCGCCACCCACAGAGGTGAGCTGGGGACGTGTCAGCCCCGGCCTCTTAACCCCCCCCCACACACACACACTGCCCCTGGCCACCAGGGAGGGCCAGGGCTGAGGCCATGCCAGCTCCCGTTCCTTCCTGGGAGGGCTGGGCTGAGGCAACTACTGCTCTCCTGGCCACCGGGAAGGGGAGGGCTTGGCTGGGGCCACAGTGTGGCAGTCCCAGCTCTCCACATGGGCCCTGGGGAGGGCCAGGTTGGAAGTGGCTTGGCTCTTGTGCGCACGCATGCACGCACACACGCACACAGAATAATTTAAATACAAAAATAACATTAACATTTACTATTTTAATATTAAATAGTATGTGTTTGCTGCCAAGTTTTAAAGAATATTGACTAGACATTTTCTTCGACTATATTTTATTTGTTTTTCATTCAGGACATCAAATCCTGTGTCTCCCCTTCTCCCATCCCATTTAGCAGAACTCTTATGAGACTTGGTTTATAAGCCTTCCCTCACAGAGGAGAAACTTGTTTCCATGAAGATAAATATAACCCCATGTTTGTTTACAATATGAAACCTGAAACTGCTGTCTTAATAATTGCACAGAAACAAACAGAACACTGATTACAACCTCTACTACAAACACTTACCCTTTTCCTGTAGCTGAACCAAGAAGAGCTTTTTGTGCTCTTTAGGTTTTGTAATATGAGCTGGAATATATGGATACTAAGGGGATGAAAAAAAAAAGCTTAATTAGTTTGTCCAGCACTCTGAAAGTATATAATTATCTGCAAGTGCTTCTTAAGAGTTTCATATAAGAATCATGAATGAGTCCTCAATGACATCATCAGATATAACATACATAAGAAAAATACAGGACAGTAAGAGAAACTGAACCGTAATGCCAAGCATGTTATTGTTACTAAACAGCTAAAAATAAAATGTAAAGGGAGATGACCTGTTTACAGGATAGGAGTACTAATTATACCTAGGGATGTAAAATGTTAACTAGTTACCTGGCAAATATTAGAGTTATTGGAATGCTCACCCAGTTAATTCAACCTCTTCAAACCCCAGTGGGCAGCCAGCTGCAGAGGGTCGGGCAAGAGAAGCTCGTCTTGTGGAGGGCCGACTTGCAGGATCCTGGCAAGCCAGGCTAGAGTAGCGCCGTGCCCACTCAGGCCTGGAGCAGCCATTGCTGTGCCTAGCAGACAGGATCTGTGCCCCAGAGAGGCAGCAGAACCGCAGCCCTGGCAGGGCCTCCAGCCCCTCCACCAGTTAACTAGTTAAATGATATAATTTTAACCATTTAACCAGCTAATTGTTTTAATAGGTATTTACATCCTTAATTGCACCACATTCTGCAAAAATAAAGTTTGAGTATCTAGTAACAACTCTTCAAGCAAACATAAACCCAACAAAAGGAACTTCAGATGCCATGACCAGCCAATCAGTAAAAAAAATTTCCCCCCAGAAACACTCATTGCTAATTATTTTAATTGCCAAAATGTATGCAGACATGGACACTCACCTGTGGAGGTTCAAAGTTTGGTCTCCACCAGTTACCAATGCAGTCATCAATCACCCAATCTTGCTGAACTCCGTCCTGACGCCCCAGTATCTGTCAAAATCCAGCTGCAGTCAAAAAACCTCTACATGATCCATTGCTAGTACTCTTAGGAAAGCATTAAGGGATGCTGTAATAAGGGTTTAATGCAATTCAGAGCCAAGCTAAAGTAGTCTTATATTAGTGTTAATATACAGGCAGTCCCCGGGTTACATAGATCCGGGTTACATGGATCCGACTTACATCGGATCCCTACTTACAAACAGGGTGAGGAAACCCCGCACTAGCTGCTTCCCCCCAGCAAACCAGGGAGACATGAAGCTAGCGCTCCCCCCCCCCAGCAGACCAGGTTGACGCAGAGCGGCTTTTCTCAGCAGACTCCTCAGCTTGAGAATAAAGGACTGAGGGAAGTGAGGTGTGGGAGAATAAAACTGAGCTCTGGAGAAATGTTTGGCTAGAGTTTCCCCTACAATATGTACCAGTTCCGACTTACATACAAATTCAACTTAAGAACAAACCTACAGTCCCTATCTTGTACGTAACCCACTAACTGACGTAAGATATGCATCATGTGCCAGGACACTGGATAAATCTAAGCTTACCTACATCTCTGGAGGGAGGGATTTTGCACATCCCTGAGAGATGTAGCTATGCCGATATAACTTTTCAGCGTAGATCAGCCTTTAAAAACAACTTTTGTAAATATGGTTCACAAATGCAATTGACCCGAGGAGCCAGACGATAAAGCCATTTAGTCAGAACTTGCAGTGCAAGAGTTGTCTAAGTAATGTGTTCTCCCAGACGTATAAATCAAGCACCTAGTTCAAGATCAAGGACACCTGAATTGGATATACCGAGCCATCCACAACAAGACCTTGATCACTGGCTGGTTCTAGCATCACTGCAGTATTTGAGCACTTCATTTGGATGTATATATCTTCACAATACCCCATAAGGTAAAAAAAGTGTCCCCATTTTATGAAACTGAGGCACAGAGAAGCTAAGTGACTTGTCTAAAGTTGCCCCAGGTCACATAGAAAAGTCTGTTGTAAACAGGGAATTGAACCCTGGTTGCTTCAAGTCCTAGGCTTGCACTCTAATCACTAATCCTGCTTCTCTCTGGTACTATCACACTACTTCATTTGTATATTTGTTTTATCTTACTCTATATTTTAGAAATTAAGATGTGCATCTGTCGGTTCATTCATGTGTTCACTTGTTTAAGAACTCCTAGATCTTAAGAGCTTGGACCACCAAATTTGGCATGCAGCTTCCTCTCATCATAACCAAACCCTTACTTTGCTTTAAGTTATGCCAAGACAATGGCACGTGCCCAGAATTCAATTGTTTCCTATAAAAAGGAAAGGGAAGGGTCTGCTAGGAGGGAGTTATACTGTAGAATGACCACAGGGAGGCAAACAAAGGGCTAGAGATGAGTACCAGAACAGCTTTAACCCCATTGGCCAACAGAGGGCAGGGAAAGCTATCTGCTATACATTTCAGATAGTTTGTTTGTTTGTCCCCCAGCTGGGAGACATGCATCCCTTCCCCAGCTGTTCCCACTGCTGCGGCCATGGAGAGGTGCTTCTCACCTGGCCACAAGCTGCTGTAGTGAGAGAGGGCTGGGGTTGTTCTCTCTCCCCAGGGCAGCCTGCATACAGAAACCCTCATCCTTGGCCCCTACCACAGAACAATGATAAAAATGGAGAAAGAGAAAACTTATTTAAGGACCCAAGCAATGTTGGCTAAATCTTCTAGCAGCATACTATGTGAACTACTAGAAAGAAGTCAAATGTGAATCACTGAAGCAAACAAAAGAATAAAAATGGTAAAAAGGCTATGTTAATGTTTTGGCCAAAAACATTCTAGAATGAGTCAAAATTCAACTGCTGTAACAACATTCAACAAAAAATGAAGAAAATATACCTCTGTCATTAAACGTTTGAGTCCTTCTACCTCGTCTTCTCCTGGATTGAGTTCACCACCTGGTCTGTGAAAAATTAATGATGAAAACTAGTATTCTATATTTTATTTACAGATACCCTTAAACTTATTAATGAATATGTCTCACTTCAAACTTTTACGGATTTACAAACTCATTTTCAAACTCTTTAGTAGCCAGAGTCCCAACTCTCAAATATCACTTTGCTGGATTATTACAATTTCAACACTAAACAGGATAGCATGCATGACTACTACAATTTTTTGAGAGGACCTCATGATGTTAGAAAAATGCAAAAATGAGGGAGGGGTAAGTTTGACTTCAGGCATTGCTCCTGACTTTGTTTTAAACCAAAAAACAACACTTGAAGAAGTGCACAAAAATAAGAAGATAAGTTATCATGAGGGGATAATCCTGATTTGGAAGTCCAGATAACCCAACCAGTCATTCCCACCTTTAATTCCGAAGATTGTGAAATTTACAAGAATTCATCTACTTTCTCTTTCCATAACAATAAAAGCACAGAAAGGAAACTTATCATTTATAAGCAACTATATTTTTAAAATTTAAGGTCAATGACTTAAGGTGCTGAGTGTGTTTATACATGATTTATTTTCATCATGTCCCTTCATTCAGAGACAATAATAATTACTGGTGACAAATTCTAAAAGCATCAATATACATGTTGATGAAGTCTACTATAATGAAGGCTAGTCGTCAACGCAGCAATAGATTATCATCAACTTTCTGCAGGGGATGATACAGCATGGTTTGCCATATAAACAGCAGCAACTGCTGGAACACACCCTTCGATCCATGATTTCTTAGTACAGATGAGCAGCCTATATATTTGCTGTTCAACTAATCTGTTATTTGGTAATGCTCTGTGATTCTACTAAACATTACTATAATGTCAAGTTCCAACGATATACACTTACAGTTTGAAGAAAGTTGTACCTAGCTGCAGTAGTAGCACATGTGGCAGCCTATGCTCATGTACAATCAGAACTCCCTCTACAGTCCGCCTCATTCCAATCTTGTCAAATTCTTCCCTCATGCGCTGAAACCGGGCTGCAACTGAACTATCTTTCTCATAAAGGGGCTCCTTTGTACCAAATGTATAATTTGTAAGTGGATACCTAGAAGATAAGTCACATGTTACTATATCATGAAGACTAACCCAGATCTCATGAGCACAACTGCACAGTACATCCTGAGGGTCAGCTACCGTAGTATAAAATTAGCTATCACTGATTTCAAAATATTTATAAGATGTGCACACATATGCTCCCTATTCTCTTCTGGATGCAATTCAAGGTACTGGTTATAATCTATAAAGTTCTAATTAAATGATTTGGGCTCCACTTACCTGAAAGGCTGTCCCTCTGCAATTGCAAGAGTAAACCACTGGCTCACACTCAGCTATTCCAAGCCTTAAAGCTCTCCACAAATAGCAGCAAGACACTCAAGTAGAGAGCCTATATCTGTGACCTCCTACTTGATCTCTGCCTGAGTTAGGAGAGTTCTTAAGCTTGTGCTTTCAGAGTCTGTTTGACAGACTTTTGAATAATCATTGTAGTAGCAGGGAATGAGTTTGTTAATAAGCAGGGGAAGTTCTCTTATATTTGGTTGATCGGTTCTTGATTTTTATTGATTTGTGCAGATGCTTTGATGCAAGATACTAATATGCATTTCTAAATAACTCATTTGAATCGGATAACTATTAAGGTCATTATAAACATTTCACTTGAAATCTTTTTAGGTGTTTCTTTTCTAAAACCTTAATCTTAGAGATAGCTTCCCAAATTCAGTGCTAATTTGGAATTTCTCCCCATCTTCCAGTACAGAGTATCAGAGCCAATTCTCATGCATGCTGCTATTCTACAAGCATCTCTAGTTTTAGAATATCTTAATGAACATCCTCTCAATTACAGGTCTCTTGCTTCCTGATCAATGGTGTCTTTATTATCTTTATTACCAGTCTCTTGTATTTTCTCCTCTTTATCTGTGGCTTTATGATTTCACCACTATTTTCTTCTTCTACTTAAATTATTTCAGAAATCTCAAATTATAATTCCTTCTCTAAAATAAGATTATATTTATCATAGAGAAGCGCTGTCCACTTTATAAATGTGTGATATTCCTTAATCTGGATCCAAAAAATTTGACTTGTACTAATAAACACAAATTCAAAGAGTTACAGCTTCTTGCTAACAGACTGTTTCCCCTCAACAAAAATCCCTGTAGATTAACATTTTCACTTTTAAAATTAGTTTTATCCATTTGGGCTTCAAAGTAGGGATGTAAAAGAGTAGTTGAGTCATCTTCTTACTTCCCCCCACCCTCCACCTTGGGGATGGAGAAAACAGGAGCCAGTGCTGGGAGAAACCATCTTAAAAGAGGCAAAGGCAGCAGGGAGGTGTGAGGGGTAGAGGAGGCTTCTCTGGCAGCAGAGCCTTGGGCTAGCCACACCCTGGGGCTGCTGGACCTGGTAGGAGCAGGGACTTAGCAAACAACAAAGAGTCAGGAAACACTTAGACTGATGAAATATCTAGAATTTGTTATCATGAGATTCTTCAAAGACAAAGAACCACTGTTGCCCTCATTGTTTGATAGGTAGGTAATGACCTAACCATCCAGTATCTTTGTTTAATCCAGAGGTGTGAGAATTGAACTTGCAAATGAGCTTTATTATTTGCTAATTAATGGTTCTTATCTGCCCCCTTTGACTATCTAGTCTTTAGGTACTTATAGACTCAGCTTTCCTTTCATATATTTTTTACCTACAGCCTTTTCTTGTTACCTCCTCCTCCCAATTTTCACTTCTTCTCCCCCCCCTCCCTCCCCGCCCATTCATTTTGGTCCTAGAAATCCAACACTCTGGTCATCTGAAGAAGTGGGCGGTGCCCACGAAAGCTCATGATCCCATCTACATGTTGTGTTAGTCTATAAAGTGCTACCAGACTATTATTTGTTGTTTTTTTAGTTTATCTGTACAGACTAACTCAGCTACCCCCCCCCCCCCCAAAAAAGCTCTGAGTGTGTAATGGTTAATTGTGGAGTACTGAGTATTACATTTGTTTGCCATTACTGCAACTTTGTAAACTTATCAAAGAAGAAAAAACTAAATGTGATGTCCACTGTAAAGCTAAGCCTGCTTCAATAAATGGCCCACTAAGGCAATCATTGTATACCAGCACTTGCATGTTACTTAATACAAATCAAGTTGCATCCTACAGCTTCCAAACATCCAAAAAAGGTACATATTTGTCCTGTAAACTCAGTACACGCTGAACAATGAGCACATATTGGGTACACATTTTTACATCCTATACACAAACTCAAGACACCACAGAGGTGGAAGGAATATAAACCCTCAGGAAAACAGGTGTGCAACTCTCCTAACTCAGCAACCCCCTTATTTAATCTCACTTAGATAGCAGCGGTATATTTACACCCCCCGTTGACGGTCCTAATGCCTCTCCTCACAAACTGAAGGTCTCCTCAAGGTAAAGAGCCTGCTCCCATTAAAGCCATCCCAGTTAGGCAGAATTCAGTCCTCTCCAGTGTGAGCAAATAGTGGGATCAGAAGGGGCCTCCTTCCCTCAGGCCCTCACCTCCAGCCTGAGGTGAGGGGCTAAGGCACAGGCAGGAGCAATGGGGAGAAAGGGCTGTAGACGGCCCTCTCCAGAGCCAGCAGCTCCGTGAGTTCAGGGTGTTGCTCCCTCCCCGGAAGCCGGGGGAGATCTAAGCCCGGGGCACGGTGAGGGTCTTCCACAGGAAGGGGGGGACGGGGCTCGCAGGTGGATGTGGGGAGATTGGG